ACACACACACACACACACACACACACACACACACACACACACACACAAGCTTGCTTACCTGCGTATGTGTATACATACAGCCCAGTTTTCAAATATTGATTCCAAGCTGAAATTGTAATATGTTAGATATATTAAATGTTATATTACAAAGGATATATTCGGTTTTCATCCAGTTTCTTGGACCCTTGAGACTCTTAAAGTGTTTGTGCTCTCTGGCATTATCTTTTGTTTGCTAAAAAGCTGACCAGTGCTGGGGTGTCCCAAGGTAACTGCAGAATGGGGTCTCCTCACCAAAACATGGGGAGATTGGATGTTTAGTATTTTCAACCTCACTGCTCAGTCTCCATGACAGAGGGAACAGGCGTTGAAGCTTCATTTGATCACCAAGAACCAGCAACCTGATCAGTTCCATTGAAGCCCTCAGGAAATGCAAGAAAGGCAGGGTTGGGAGAGCTTTTATGTAGCTGAATACCTGAGGCTTCCTTAGTGGGGCTCACAGACAAGATATGGAAATTCCCCTCCCTCTCATTCCATATCTCTTCTCCTGCCTCATGGCAGAAGCATCTTTCCCTCTGTATCCTCTGTAATACTCTTTCTAGTAGACAAGTAAGGCAAGGACCAGGTAATCCCTACTTAGAGCTTGTCAGTCAAGAGGACGATTAAATCAGCCCAGGACATGTAGCCACTAGTGGAGGGAGTTCAGTCTTGGGGTCTGTGGTTTCAACCTGATGTCACCTCCAGGTAGCTAGTGTTGCATCAATCTGTATTCTAGGACAGACAAGGTTGCCTCTTGTCTTGGCTAGTTTCCTTGTTATTGAGACAAAATAGAAGACAAGAAGCAGTTGGAAGAAAGATTTATTCAGGCTTACAGTTTCAGGGTATACATTCCACCTTGGAGTGGAAGCCATGGCAGCAGGAGCAGGAAGCTCTATGGTCAGTCCCACTGCGTCTACAGTCAAGAGGCAGAGTGTGAACAAGATGTGCAGACAGGCTGTAAGACCCCAGGGCCTTCGCCAGTGACCCACTTTCTCCCATAGGCCCCACAACCTTCACAAAGGAAGCACCACCAGCTAGGGACCGAGTGTCTACCCGCTGAGCTCATGGGGAACATTTTCTAGTCAAACCACAGCACCACTATAGTGACTATCTGCTGGGTAGGTACGAAGTATCTCAGATATCCGACATTAAAAGCATGATGTGAGGATACAGGGGAAATGGGTCTGAATTTCCTCTATATAATCAGATGGAGTTTAATACAATACAGCATCAACAATCAATTGTTTCACTTAATTCCTATAACTTTTTTAATTTGGCTACTGAAAATGTTTCTTTACTCACATGGTTCATGTCATTTTTTACTTAATCTGTATAGAAAATATGTATATATGAACTATATAGGTACTGCCTAGATAAATATAGAATATGTATGAACCTACCGAATGTGCATCTATATGAATGTGTGTCTATACATACATAACCTCTCATTATTCTAGATAGATTACAGGAAAATTATTTAAAACGTCTTCTACCTTGAAGGCCAACAAGATAACTCATGAGACTCCTGCTATAGGAAAGCTAACTGGAATCTCAAATGAAGTTCCCTCCAGTCCCAACACAGAGGAGCCGTCGGAGATGAGTCCTTCCCCAGGCTCTCCCTCCGTTCAGCTCCTAATGTACCAGGAACACAGTTGCTGCAGCTATACCTGTCCCCATGGTCTCCCTGTTTTCCCACCCTGACATGGACATTTTGTTCCAAGCATGCTGCCAAAGCACTTGGGCTATTTTTAGGGGACACACGACATACTGTAAGGTGCTACCCTGGCTATTATTCGCTGCCTACTTTAGGCCTCTCTACATTGCTGTCTGTTTCACTTTCCAGCACTCAAGTTTCCTATTTTGCTTAATAAATTACTATGGTGTGCAAATGTGTACAATCTCTAAAACTACAAGAACTGCCTTGAAGAATGATTTTTACAATATCACACTTAGAAAAATATGTGAGTGGGCTCTCTATTGCTGTTGTAAAGAGTAGGGGGATTTAGAGCAGAAAAATTCAAATCACAGTAGCTGTTCCTTCCTCGAGTAAGTGCTTCTTAGGAAGTGCATTTTAAAGAGGATGACTTTCCAGAGAACACTTTAATTTTAATTTAACCTTCCTAGAAAAAATGAAGTGTTGTGTATAGATTCTTTTGGCTTTATTTAAGGCCTAAAAATTAGTTCTGAACTGTGATAATTGTGGGCTTAGGAATGCAATCATCCCGAGCACCACTTCTGATTTGCTTGCAAGCCCTGCAGATGAGAAGCTGCTGCTTGCTTAATTGTGAAGCTGAACTTAAAGTCGAAGTGCCATGGTAGGGCTGGAGGCCAGGAGCTAGGCATTGCTGCGGACAAGTCTGGTGGACAAAGGAGTGTGAGGTGGGCTTCTGGTACGCGCTGGCTAACTGTTAACTTTAATTA